AATCCTGGGAAGGCAGAAGGAGAGGCCTAAGAGGATGTAAATCTCTTCCTTTGAAACAAAAGGGAAGAAGAACCGAGGTGTGAGTAAGCTTGTGTATCTGAATGAAGGATATCTAATCTGATGGCTTTTACTTTATTCCTTTGTGGAATAGAAGTCAAGATTACCTGCTTTGAAACAGGAGGATGCAGGATTAAAGACAGAAGAGAAAATAGGGAAAGGCACAGTAGAAAAGAGTGAATCGAAGGGACAAAACAGTTAGGACTGTGGTGTCAGTGCTGAGTACCCCCACTTGAAATAGGCAGCTTTGCATCGGCAGCGGTGGCCCTCTATTTCCACGTGATGTGTTCTGAGACCGGCCACTCAAGGGAGGTTTTGTTATAGAGTAGATCCTAATTCCCATGTAGACAAATAAGTTGAGGGAATTTTCAGTGAAATTGTTAGACAAACCTTCTAAGAGCCATTGAGAGGCCAAGTTTTCCTCTGTCCAAAGAGATGATTGTAGCTATGACATCTCTCATCTATCTCATAGCACAGTAGTAATTTTCAACTTTTATCAGCTGCTAAGACCCGTCAACCCTGCTCCTGGGACTTGTCTTTCTCTCTTCTGGATCCTTCCTTACACACTGTTAGATACAGTCAAGAGAAGAGAAAACTTGGGACTTCTGGCATAGGAAAACATTGTGTCTCCAGACGGAGAAGCTGTGGAACCAGAACTCCAGCACGTTAGAATAACTGAGACGGTGTGAAGGTCCAGTGATCTCATCACAAGAAATATCTTAAATAAATTCAATGTCATCATTACTACAAAGCACAAAAGAGCTCTCCTTGGTTCATGATTAAGCAATAGTGTTCATTTGCAATCCACGGAAACTTAATAAGCAATTGGGCAACAACACACACAAATTTCTTATCTTATTAGAGCAAGCATATGTTTTTCTTTCTTAAGTGATGATAATGTGTTAAGTCCATCTTAATAGAGCCTCAAGTTCTTACTCAGAGTATTTAGCATCCCATCGACATAATAAGCAAGGCATTCCGCTTCCGATCTTGTCAACCTACCAAAAGTATGTTTTCTATTCATTTTCCCAGACACCATAGTATATTGCTGAACAGCTGGAAATAGAAAACTGTAGAGTTTAATTTGAAATTCTTTTACTTTTTATTTTTTTTTTTAATGTTTATTTATTTTTGAGAGAGAGAGAGAGAGAGAGAGAGAGAGAATATGAACAGGGGAGTGACAGAGAGAAACAGAATCCCAAGCAGGCTTCAGGCTCTGAGCTGTCAGCACAGAGCCCAATGTGGGGCTTGAACTCCTGAACTGTGAGATCATGACCTGAGCTGAAGTCAGCTGCTTAACTGACGGAGCCACCCAGGCACCCCTGAAATTCTTTTACATAGTTCTACAGGGTAAGTACAGTACCAATGCCTGTTTATTTTAAAGACACACTTATACTTAGATTTTTCCTACATTCCTGACCTTTGTTTTACCCTTGTGCTTTTTTTTTTTCCTACTCAACACCAACCTAAATATGGCATATATCCTGTTATTCTCACATAGCACATATTTATTCTCATTTACATTTTGGAGTTATACTGTGAATATACATAATCCTTGCTGGTCCTTTTTTTTTAAAATTTTTATTTTTTAATTTTTAAAAAATTTTTTCCTTGCTGGTCCTTTTGCAAGGAATGAAGTTGCTGGGATTTGTGGCTAAATTCCAGGTTTCAATCTTTAAAAATCCCAGACTTTAAGTAGGAATGCATTGTTTTCCAAAATAAAGTATTTCCCAATCATAACAAAGACTTTGCAGTTGGAAATAGGGACTTGCTGAAGCTCATTAATTTTTCTCTTACTGTCTTTTTCTCAGGCACTTGTCAAAAAGTAGTTTTGAACTTAAATTGAAAGTTAAACAAAAGACAATTGAATTAAACCTACAATAATTCAAGCCTTTCTGTAAGGAACAAGGCTAAACTTCTAAACTTTCTTTTTCTCTTTAAATATTCATAGAGAAATCTATTTGTTGAAAATCACCCTAAATGTTTTGAGTTAGGAGACACAGCTAGACTCATTGACTGAAAGTATTTGCATAATTGTTTAAATTTGGGTGCTTTAGAGCTTACCTCATCAAAGACTTGTTTACCAAATAGTAAATTTAATGAGGTTTCCACTGAAAATGCACAGTCCCAATGGATCATAATAGTATAATATTCAAACAAAGACCGCACACTTTACTAAAATACAGGCCTTTGTAATCAAAGTGCTATAGTGTAACGAACCTGGGATTTTCTAGATGCTTTACTGCTTCTTGAAAGTGATGAAATCTTGATGGAGGAGGACCTTAAAGCAAATATAATCAATATAAATATAGGCACCCAGACACTTTGACAGGAAGACAGAATTTTTTCAGTAGTGCACGATCATCACTCAAAGCCATTGTTATTGTAGCCTAGCCTTTTTCAAGGACATGATTGCTACCTTTTGCAAACTCTTCAACCTAGCACTCAAAGCCTCCCGACCAAGTTTCTTCCTCAGGGAACCTTCTTTTCCTTTACACTTCTTAGGGGCCCCCTCATAACATCAAAACAATGTGCAGCTTTCCCCTACGCAGAACCTGATCTTTCTTTCCTCCACATCTTAGAATATGCATCCCTTTTGCTCCTGTTATTTGTGCTAAGTTCATGTTGCCTTTCTCAATTGGATATATATAAATATATACATATATTTTTTTCTAAAAAACATATATATATTTTTTTCTAAAAAACAACAAAAAAACAACTTTCGTAATGAATTCCATGTGGCTCTTCAAACCTCTACTTACCTTAGCTTCCCTTTGTGGGAAATCAGGATTCATAAGTTGTGTTGCTATTTTTATCTTTAAGATTTCAAACCAATTCATTTAGATTCACTCTATGTTGTGAATCACGCTAATGCTACTTTTTCTAGTGGATTTGTTGTCATGATTAAACAAGTTGATGCGTAGAAAGTATTTAGAACAGAACTGGCACATCGTAAGGTCTTAGTAATATTACAAGAAAGCAAATACTTGTATTTTCTGTATACAGTAAGTGGCTGAAACTTTTCCAGGCCTTTGCTTGTGCTCAATTCACACTAAATAATGCTTCTTTCAGGAGTGACTTATAGAATTTCTCTAGACGATAGAGAATATTGAAAGTTATGCCCCTTATTAGAATGTCTTAAGTTGCAAGAATGATTTCTTTTCATTCTTGGGCTATTTGAATTTTCATATCTTTTCAGATATTAGATGATGTTAAGTTGGTGGTGGTTGTTAATTGTAGCACAAATAGTAGTTAAGGATGTAACTCATTGTTGGCACTTACCACAGTGCTTGACGTGCAGAGAGTGTTCAATAAATGTTGTTATTATTGTTGTTGTTGTTATACTTTTGTCTTTTTTTTTTTTTTTTAAAGAGGCTCCATGCCCTACATGGGGCTTCAACTCATGACCCTGAAATCAGGAGTTGCATGCTCTACTCAGTACAGTAGGCACATTGTACCAGGCATCCCTCTTTTTTGTTGTATTTTGAGTGCTCAGGGTTTCTCTATCCTTTCTGGTCTCCTGAATGCCATGATTAAACTGCATTTAAAAAATGTCCAAAATGCCTTTTAAAATATTTCAAGAGATAATTCATTAATTAAAAAACAAGTCAGTGATTCTGCGTGCGTGGGTGGCCCAGTCCCTTAAGTGTCTGACTCTTGATTTCAGCTCAGATTATGAACTCATGGTCGTGGCATTGAGCCTCATTGGGCTCGGTGCTGAGCGCAGAGGCCGCTTGGTACTCTCTCTCTGTCCCTCTTCCCCACACACCTCTGCTCTCTCCCTCTCTAAAATAAATAAGTAAACTTAAAAAAAAAAATAAGTCGGTAATATCTTAGAGATTATTGTGCCCACATCACTTAAAATTTGTACATTTGTGACACCGTGATTTTTGAGATGACCTTTTTAAATTGGGAAAGCTGACTGCCAAGTATCTTACCAGATATCTTCATTAAAAGAAACCTTTTTAGCACACCTGAAAATCTTCAGAATCAATTCTGTAAGTACTTAAAGACCAACTACCAGAGGCTCAGTATTGTACTGTGTGTTAATTTGCAAATATGATTTGTAAAATACTAAAATCCAAATAAGAATTCTGAAGTTTCACCAGCTGCCACTTTAGATTACTTTAAATCCTATTTAAAAAATGCAACTTTGTTCTAAGGGGAATGTCTTTAGTAAGAACATTTCCTTTTTAATTTTCCACAGATATCTTACTTACCCTTTAAAAAAGGCAGCTTCAACAAAGGCAAGGTCTTTCATTGTGTGCTTATTGAAAGTTAAAAAAAAAAACAAGTTTAAAAAACAAGCAATTGGGGCCAAAAGAGGTTTTCAAAGATATTCTCACTGAATTTCTTTCATTTGGGAAATTCATAAATTCTTCCTCATATCCAAACATTAGCAATAATTTGCCTTTAAGTTTTATTTTTAAAATAATATAACAAATCATTAAATGTTTTATTATTGTTTTTGGATACAAGACCATTTCCAAAGACTTCAGTTTTGAGATACACTTCTTGCAAAAATAGACCTTCACTTTCTTGAGGGCTAACCTCGGTATTTTTGTCCGCATAACATTGCGTTAGAATGAGATTAAGAGTGCTGATCTAGAATATTTTGTCGACACATGCTGGCAGTCTCATAATATTTAATTTTGGATTGCAATTTGCATCTTTCACGTGGCTCCACGTTTCACCAAGGTTTGAATCAGCTGACGGGTGTCAGGCTTGAATTTGAAGCGGGTAATTTGAGACCGCGTTCCTAGGAGTTACGGGGAAACACGAAACTCAGTAACGAACACGGGGCGTGGAGGTGGGGGTGGGGTTAACTTCCGAGGCTCCGCACCGGTTCCCAACTGATCGGGAAGAAGACACGAAGGGGGTGGAACTTCCTGACCTGACGCTGGCGCCTCTGTCGCTAGGGACGCTTCGGCTAAGGCAACAAGATGGACCAGGAAGAGAGGCTGACGGCCGTGGACAACATAGTCACTCAGTTCAACACCTATGAAGATTTCCTCGACTCGCAGATCACTTCCGTGGACCTGTACTACCTGGAGGTAAGAACTGCGGCACCGCAGAGTGGACCCCGTTTTCCTCTTAGTCCTTCCCGATCCCCCATTCATGGAGTGGTCGCCCCCTGGCGGTGGACTCCAGCGACGTCAGGCGCCGCAGTATCCCGACGGCGGCGCCAGAGGGGCGGGGAGCTGAATCACCGGGTCCTGAACCCGCCCCGTACGGCCTCAGTCCGGCCAGAATTCGGGTCCCTGGAGGTGGCGGCCCGTGTGGAAACATGCGGGTGCGCCCGCACGCCCGCAGGAGTCTTCAAAATCTGTCTTTCCCTCTCACATGAGGCCTCCCGGCCCATTCTTTCCAAAGTCATTGCCTGCGAGGAGGTGGCTGGATGCGGAGACCTGCGGAGACCCTTGCGCTGGGCTGTAATGCAGGTCTGGCACGCTGTTTCTCTTTGCTTTGCCACTTTGTATTAAAGAACAGAAGAGAGTAGCCTTCCAGGGCAAGTGGCGACACCAACCTGGTGTATCTGGTGTCATATAGGGCATCTGGGCCCATAAACCTCCACCCCACTCTCGTACCCTTAATTATGGGTAGGCACTACAGGAATATGTAGGCATATTCCTGATTGATGTTTATCGAGCTGCGAATCACAACTAATATTGAGAGTAAAAAAAAAAAAAGATCCTGCTATACTGCAAAGTTAGACGTCATGGGGTTGGCCACTGTCTTCCACTCAGCAACCATCTTCCTCCCCTCGTCTTTAAAGGTGTGTGTTTGTTGGGGTGGGGGAGATGATGGAGTGGGGGCGGCAGAGAGTTCTTGTCTTCTGGGAGGCGAACCAGGATGGGCTGGAAAATAACAGGCTGAGAGGTCCTGAGAGGCAGGAGGTGAACGGTGGATCCCTATAGCCCTGGGATCTTGCCAGACCAGGCCGACTAAAGGCGCACTGCCCTGGAGACTCTGCTGGCGGAGAGCCAAGACTCAGCCCCAGAATGCCTCCTTCCTATTTAGGCCAGGCAGAACAAGCGCCACTGGGTGGTGCCAAACCACAGCCGAATCTTTGAAGGGTTTGCATCTAGTAGTCAACTCCCTAAACCCCGTGTCTGCAACAGCATAATTCTGCATTGTGGTGGATTTTTGGGCTCCAGAGATCATGTTAGCAAGATTTTTCTTACATGCTTACTTAAATATTGATTGCAAGGTTTGAAAAGTGCTTATTCTTTGAAATGCATTCATGTGCTAGATATGAACGTTAATTCTACATAGCTAAGGCAGAGGTACACGCTATACGTAGCATATACGCTTGGCAGTATTTAACCCAAGAATAAATGAGAGAACTGTTCTCCAAAGAAAGTGAAATACATGTCTAATAAGGGGACCTGGAGGGAGTAAAGGGGCCTGAGAGATAATCAGAACTGAGCTCGGAGTAACTAAATAGTGCTAGAAGTTCAGACTAGGTGCTGAAGAGAAAAATAGAATCTGTTGTCAAGACCTTCTTTTTTTAGGTTTATTTATTGATTTATTTTGGGGGGGAGGGACAGAGAGAGAGAGAGAGAGAGAGAGAGAGAGAGAGAGGTGGGGGAGAGAGAATCTCAAGCTGGCTCCTCACTGTCAGTGCAGAGCCCAATGCAGTGTTCGATCTCGCAAACCAATCTTGCAAACCTTGAGATCAGGACTTGAGCCAAAATCAAGAGTAGGATGCCTAATTGACTGAGCCACCCAGGTGCCCCTTGCCAAGCCCTTCTTATTTCAGCAGTTAGGTTGGAGAGGGTGGGATATAACCCACCTTTGCTTCCTTCTTCATGCCCACATATCTTCAAGTGGAGTCTCTTTTACACATAACTGCCGCAGCTCACCTATTCCAAGGTGAGTCCAATTAGGGAACTAGGTCTGTACAACTAGAGGGAATCCACACTTATGTCCATATCAGTTAATGTAGTCCTCTGTTCATGTGTGTCTACAGATGTTTGAGCAAACCTAATAGCACGAAAGAGATAGCCCAAGGTGAGTAAGGAGGGTAACTAATGTCAAACAAAACACTTAAAACCCAGAGAGAACTTTAAATAAATTCTAATTTTCTATCCCAGAGGCATTTTAATATCTATCAAATCTATAAGCAAACTAATAGACTGCTATGAAAAGGGAGCAGAGAGCAAGAAAGAATTCTTAGAATTTAAAAATATAATTGATAACATTTTTGAAAGGGCTAACTAATAGAATAAACACTTTTTAAAGGACAAATTAATTATCTGGAAGTTAAAGGTGATATAGTTACCCAGAATATAGTAAAAAAAAAAAAAAAAAAAAAAAAAAAAAAGAGGAAAATAAGAAAGAATTCTATGAAAGAAAATATGAAAGAATAGTTTTATGATGCTCAATATCTATCTAATAAACTTACCAGAAAGAAATTATACAGAAAATGAAGGTGATAATCAATTGAATAATGAAAAAATTTTTCTGTGTTGCAGATAAGCACATTAGCTGTTAAGCAGGATAAATGAAAAAGATTCATCCCTAGGTAGATAGTGGTAGAATTTTATAATTCTGAGAATAAAATGGTAATTCAAAAATAATTCAAATTGGCTTGTATGACATCAAAATTAAAAACTTTTGTGCACCAAAGTACACTATCAATAGAGTGAAAAGGCAACCCATAGAATAGGAGGAAATATTTGCAGATTATATATCTAATAAGGGGTTAATATCTAGAAAATGTGGCGTACACACACACACACACACACACACACACACACACACACACACAGGAGTATTACACAGTCATGAAAAAGGATGAGATTGTGCCATTTGTAACAACATGGATGGACCTAGAGGGTATTATGCTAAGTGAAAAAAGTCATACTGAGAAAGACCAATAACATGATTCTACTCATAAGTAGAATTTTTAAAAAAAGTGAACAAAAAGCAGAATCAGACAGATAAATACAGAGAATAAACTGATGGTTGCCAGAGGGAAGGGGGATGGGGGGTGAGTAGAATGGGTGAAAGAGAGTGGGAGATACAGGCTTCCAGTTATGGAATAAGTCATGTGAGAATACAAGGCACAGCATAAGGAATATAATCAATGATATTATCATGGTATAATGGGGTAGATGCAATGGGACACACTTGTGGTGAACATAGCATAATGTATAAACTTGTAAAATCACTAAGTTGTACACCTGAAACTAATGTAACATTGTCAACTAAAAGAACTCACCCCACAATGATATACCATTTCACCTCTTTCAGGATAGCCATTTAAAAAACCCAGAAAATAGGGCATCTGGGTGGCTCAGTTGGTTAAGCATCCGACTCCTGATTTCCGCTCAGGTCATGATCTCGCAGTTTGTGAGTTTGAGCCCTGCATCGGGCTCCGCACTGACAGTGCAGAGCCTGCTTGGGATTTTCTCTCTCCCTCTCTCTCTGTCCCTCCCCCTGCTCGTGCTCCCCCCCCCC